GACAACTTACCATTGTACCGCAGTAAATTTCTTGACGTAAACGTTACAGAAGAGCGATTTCGCATAACATTGATGAACACCTGAAACCAGAGTTCACAAACCCTAGATGAATTTTAGAGCCATCGCGTACCGATGGTACTTCAACTGTACCAGCATCACTGCAAACCCAAACATAATGAAATCCGCGTGCCTTTGAGAAAGCCAGCCGAGTGTCTTGTCCGGGAAGATGTGTGGAAAGTTCACTTTCTGGGATACAAACAGGTGGATCTCACGTCTCATTAACATTGGGGCAATCAAGGTAAGCAGAGCATTAAGATAAAGAGAAAAAACAGAAATGCTCTGTCATAAATGATGATTCTGCTGAAAGCTTAGCTCACCTTGTTTCTGGACGTCTCTGACGAGTTCTTCATAGGCCCTTCTGGCGACATCTAGATTGACAGACACTCCTTCCTAGAAAAGATAAAGTAATCATAAACTCAACTCATGAAAAAAATATTTGGTCCAGGAACCTTTATAGCGTAGCACTTCCTATGTTGCTGAATCAGTGAGTTCTTTTTGGTGCCTCCAATATTTTCGGAACTGAATCTGTCATCCAACAGTTTTCTGACGACATCAATTCGTTTATCGCTGAGCAGCTGAATGAGCAATCAAGAAAACAGAGTTCATACCACGCTCTCCTTTTACCTCACTTCCTTTACTCAAGAGTTCACATTTGAAATTTTTAACAATTTGCCGCAATGGATCAACAACATTTAAGACGTTTTTCAAACGCAAAAGCTGCAAGAAAGCAAACAAACAAAGGTATTCACCACCAGTAAAAAAGAGCAAACCTGCGTTAGATTGAAATTGGCGGTTTGAACGGTAGTTTCCGTCGGAGACTCAATGAAGACATCGAAAACATGGTCAAGATCATAAGATGAGCTGAGCACTTGGCGCAGTTTCTCGATCACCTATAAATCTGCTACGTCGTCTTCACAGAGTGCTATCAAATTCAGCCCCATTACTGGTGTCATCCACTTAATTCATTTCGCTATTGCTCAAATCAGTGAGGTGACTAGCGCGACATGTCCACGTCAGTGGCGGGCCGAGAGGGGATGGGCGGGGGAAGGGGCGCCTCCCTCCCCCCGAAAATGAGTCGCGACAAATTTTGAAAGTTGAATACGGTTATAAAAGTGTGTGAAAACTTGTTTATGCTTGTAAATTGTATAATTTTTGAAAAGATATTAGTGAAACTAGTGAAAAAAATTTTCTCGTGGCTAACGCCATGCACCTTCAAAAATTTTTTTGTCCCTTTTCCGGACGGAAATCGTGCGACTGCCACTGCTATTGGTCAGTTCACTAGTCTGACCGATAACGAAGTGGATGCAGTGGATCAGTCAGAGAGTGCGCCAGAGCGAGAATATTTTCGTCGATGCCACATAATGTATAGCAGTTGGTTTCTTCCGCGCTAATACCACATAGCGACAAATTTATTACAAGTGGTTTTTTTTTACGCTCCCTCGGGCATAGCTCACGCTGTTTCATCGCCCGCAATTCTCCCAACAGGACAACTCATATGAGTCCACTGCACCGATTCTCCTGCACCTCACTTGTGACAGTTTCCCGACCCTTGCGGCTAACTATCACGACCGAATTGAAAGATTTACATGCAATGGACTCGTAACACTTGTCTTGTAGGGAGAATCGCGAGGCGATGAGATGGCGTGAACTATGTCCTTGGCCTAACGCAGAATGACTTGTTGAAACACATTGCGTAAAGGGTGTTAGTAACACAGATATAGACTGCATACGTGTGGATTTTCCAATAATTCCTCTACGGCATCCAGCCGCCGATCTATAATTTCTCGATCTCCCGATGGTTGCAGTAGGTTGGAACGAAGCAATCGTGCACCACCCGAAGTTAGAGTTTCGTCAATGACTGCCAACAGTGATCGACGCTCCTATAGTAGCAAAGATGCTTTTCCCTCAAGTATGTGAAATTACCTTTCTTGGGAAAGAGTTCACAATCTCAAGATTCTGCCAGGAACCCACATCTGCAAACAAAGGTAAATTTCAAACGAGTGAAAATCTGTGACTCACCTAACATGCAAAGTTTTTCAATGTCCCGATATACAAAACGCAGCGTGTTCGCAGCAAAAACAACATTCTGAATATGTTCCACATATCGGACAAGAGCACAAACTGCTTGAGTACAGAATTGTCTGGAAATATTGATGCATCCGCATAAACCTAGATGATTAGGATTATCTTACTTCTGCAAAACTACACTATCACAATTTGATATCTCGGCATTCGCAAGCTGAGATATCAATTCAGCCCCACGCATCTGGTTGAAAAACCTGGAACGCATGCTGCTTTATCTATCTACGCGCAAGAAGCATTCCTATCTATACAAGAAAAAAGAGTTTCAATTTACCTTCGGTGCACATTGGTTACGGTAACATTTGGTAACGAGGAATGGATCATCTCGAGCATTAGTGCATTAGCCGACTTGTCATTGAAGCTCTCAGCTATGACGATCTTAATTGGTATTACTATGTAAATTTAACGTTTCCACAGGTCCTTAGTAATGCACAGATTCGCGGGCAGTATGCTTTAAAGGCAGTGTCCGGGCAAAAACTCGATTTTGA